TGATTCTCATAAAGGTACTCCAGCAAGGCTTTTCTCTAGTCTTACTTTGAACTCTACTCATCTGGCCAGGTGGGCCTTTCTTTAGAAGGCCATTACAGAGTATATTTGTTCATAATGGAAACATGGTTGCTGTGGGATAATCTTTTTGTACACCATGAAGATGTGTCACTCAGATTTGTTTAGTAATAAGCTGAACAGCGGATAGCTAGGCAGGATTTCCAGGCACAGAGGACACTGGGAGGATGGGGAGTCACCAGCCACACAGGGAGGAATCAGGATAGGCAGAACTGAGATAAGGTAATAAAGTTACAAGGCAGAAAGTAGATTTAAAGAACTAGGTTAATTTAAGTTATAAGAGTTAGGTTGAAACAAAGCCTACACTACCGACTGAGCTTTCATAATTAATAAGAAGTCTTCATGTGGTTATTTGGGAGCTGACAGGTGGGACAAAAAAAATCTATCTACAATGAAATCTTGCCTAGCTATTGGCTACTCAACTTTTTATTAAATATCTTCATAGTATACAAGAGATTATTCCACAACACATGAATTGACATCTGACAATCAGGCAAAGTCCTTCCTGCCTCTCACATCAACACCAGGACAAACATCCCAGAGCTAGCACTCTGCTGTCAGTTTTGTTGATGATATTTGAGACAGACGACCAACCCCCTATTCTAGGAACACACAGATCCACTCTCCAGAGCTGCTAACAGTAAAATGTTGGTTTCATACCCGATTTGACTTTCAGATACATCATAAGTTCTAAATGTTTGTGAAAACAATTGGTAGAGTCTTAAATTATAATACCAAATTGTGAAAAATCTAAACTTAAACATTCATTTAATAATAAATTTCTCAAAATACTATTAATCATTAGAAAATTTCTAGGGACTGGAGAGATAACTCAGAGGTTAAGAATACTGGATGCTCTTCCAGAGGATCCAAATTTGATTCCCAGTATGCACATAGCAGCTCACAATTATCTGTAACCTTAGTTCCAGGGAATCTGATACCCTCTTCTGGCCTCCACAGGTGCACATACACATGGTACACAGACATACATATACAGGCAGACAAAACACTCATACTCATAAATAATTTTTAATTAAAAAAGAAAGGATTCCCAAAAGTATTGTATTCCATAAAAAGTAAAATGTTAACTTATTCATATTTACAATGTTGCTCACAGACAAAAATTACCCAATTTTTAAGATAAATAGAAATATTGGCTCAATAGCTGCTATTACTTTTCTGTATGAAAATGAATCATTCTGTCAGCAGAACATGGGTTTAAGATTTGGGCCTTATACTTCAGGTTTCATTCTAGGATTCCCAACTGCTAATTTTCCACCAGAAACACCAGGATCCATCATTCTTGCTTTGGGTCTTTGTCAACAGGCATCTTAAGTGTCTTTGTCCAGAACACAATTAGTGCAAGCATCTAATTCCAGCAAGATCTTCTGTTCTTAAGCTCTCATATCATCAGTTCTCTGAAGAAAGTAAATACACTATTGATCTTTTCTCCTTTCCTCAAGTAGATTGATACATCTGAAATATAAAACTTCTTAATGTAGCAAGTGTGTTTGAACTTTAGCTTGTTTCATATGCTAAAAGCCTCACGTCCATGAAAACCTGTTACAAAGCATATGAAGAATAGTTGCTGTACAAAATAAAACAATGACATGAACAGTCTTCAGACTTTCAGGAAAATAGATTTTCCCATGTACAAAAACAAAAACAAATAACACCGTGATAAAATAAACACAGCATACATTTATCTGGTATGCCTTGGTTATGGAGTTGATGGGGTTTGGAGTCACCTAGGAGATACATCTCTGGGCATGTATGCGGCCATGTTTCCTGTAGTGAGATATTATTTATGATTTATTAAAGCTTGCCTCAGAATTCAGAAAAGCAAAGTCAGCCTCAGGCTATAGAGATCAGGCAGTGGTGATACACACCTTTAATCCCAGCAGCCAGAAGCTAGGAGATGGTGATACACCTTTAATCCTAGGACTCAGGATTAAAAGGTAAATGGATCTCTGTGAGTCCAAAGCCACCCAGATCTACACAAGAGTGAATCAATCTAAGAGAATTATAGCTCACACCTTTAATCCAAGCATTAAGGAAGTATATAAGACAGAAGCAAGGTCAGTAGAAGGCATTCATTCTCCAGCCACACTGAGAGGTTATAGTCTGAGACTTGGTGAGAGTTTGTGGAGGCAGGATCAGCCCATTCAGCCTGAGCTTGTGGTAAGAAGCTAGTGGCCAATTGCTTTGATTTTCTGATATTCAGCTTGAAGTTTGAACCCCAATATCAATCTCTGGGTCTTTAATTATTCATGTTACAATTTCCAGAGTGGCTTAACCAAGAAGGGAAAACCCACACTTTGAGAAGGTGGGGTGGAGTCCTAGGCTGAATAAAAAGGAGAAAGGAGATTGCTTGCCAAACACTGACACTTATCAGTGTGTTCTCTAGTCCAAGCGGGTAAGAGCAAGCAACTGTCCATCTACCCACATGCCTTCCTTGTCATGATGCTGCCTCTATAGCTTCAAACTGTGAACCCAATTAAACCCTCTTTCCTTAAATCACTTTTGTATGGTGTTTTTATTGCAGCGATGAGCAAAAATAACATAAATCCTCTAAACTATTACATATTATCTCCATCACCTGTCTCCAGACCTCTAGAATGTTTTCATCTTCCCTAGTTGCTAAATAATGGCTTCCCAAACAAGTGCCCCCCCCATTGTCCTCAGGCTACACTTTTACTTCCTGTCTCTATGAGTTTGACTAGTCTGTAAGTGGAATCATGTGGCTAGTATTTATCCATTCATGATTGACTTATTGAACTTAACTTGCCTTCAAGGTTTGCCTGTGCTGTGGTGTATGTTTCTTTTAAAAACTGAGCATCCATTGTGTGTAACCATCAAGGTTTGTTAATATACTGTTTACCTATAGATACTCAAGTTGCTTTTTTTTTTTGACTCTTAGAAACCATTTCGTTATGAGCAAATGAGTACAAATACCTCTTTGAGTACTTGTTTTCAACTCCTCTGTTTCCGTGACATTTTTTTAAACAGGAAAGCTGAATGTTGCTGTTCATTTCATATCTAAGGAGAAAAAAAAAAACCCTCCAGGATTAGTAGGGAAAATATTCAATACAACTGGATAATAGAGCCAGAGTGTGGGCAGTGCAAAGAATATCTTCATCCCTGGCCTCTCTGCTGTAAAATAGTCCCTCACATTGTGTGAATATATGTCACTATGATTAGTTTAATAGCAAGCTGACTGGTCAATAGCTGAACAGGATAACATCAGGTGGGAAAGCCAAAATGAGAATGACGGGAGGAAGAAAGGCAGAGTCTGGAGAAGCCAGCAAGACATGAGAGAACAGGAGATGAACATGCCATGCTAATAAGGGTACTGCCACGTGGCAGAGTGTAAATAAGGAATATGGGCTAACTTAAAATGTAAGAACTGGCTATGAACCTGAACTCTTGGCTGAGCATTTACAATTAATATAAGCCTCTGTGTTATAATCTGGAAGCTGCTCCCAGGAAGGGAAAACTCCTCTTAAACCTCCCAGCATTCAATCCTATAAGACTTGATTCTCCAGTTTCCTAATCTGTGAAGCAAAGGCGCTATGGGTGTGATTATTAAGTCTAAGCATTAATCAGCTAAAGACTGTGGCTGGCAAAACTCATACTACTATGTTATATAATGGTCCAGGACCAGATCCCAAATTGGAGGTACTGCTTTCAAAGTTCAGTGGGGTTTCTTTCCCAGTTATAGAGAAAGAGAAATTAAGAATAGTTTTAAAAAGCGGTAGGGTTGCTGGGTGGTGGTGGCACATGCCTTTAATCCCAGCACTCGGGAGGCAGAGGCAGGCGGATCTCTGTGAGTTCAAGGCTGGGCTGGACCGACAGCCTCGAAAACAATACAGAGAAACCCTGTCTCGTAAAAACCGAAAAAAAAAAAAAAAAGCAGTAGGGTTTTTCAAAAGACACAGCTGGTAAGGAAATTGGGGCACCAACTCATCAATTCATCACAGGTGTTACCCTTGCTAGAAGGAGAAGCATACACATCAGTATGTTGAAGTACTAGCCCTCAAGATTGCTCACCATCTTGTCTTCCCCGAAACAGAGCTTTTTTTTTTTTTTTTTTTTTTTTTTTGGTTTTGGAGGCTATCTGTCCAGCCCGGCCTCGAACTCACAGAGATCCGCCTGCCTTTGCCTCCCAAGTGCTGGGATTAAAGGCGTGCGCCACCATCGCCCGGCGAAACAGAGCTTAATGGGGCTAGATGCATGGCTTAGCGGTTAGCACTTGCTGCTGAGGACTGGGTTTCAGTTCCCAGCATCCACTTGGGGGTGCATAACTGACCATAACTCCAGTCCCAGGGACCCAATGGCCCCTTCTGGCCTCTGTAGGCAGTAGGCATGTGCATGGTAGACAGAAAGACAAGGGGGCACACACATATACACATAAAAATACATTTAAAATATTGAAATAGAGCTTAACTAAATGAATTGTAGCAGTTACATTATTGAAATGAGGTTTTTTTTCAGATTGTCAGTGTGTTTGTCTCTGTATGTGTATGTGTGTGAGGAAAGAGAGAAAAAGAGAGAAATTATGTTAGCCTGTAAATTATGGCGTAATTATCTTCAACTTCCCCCTATATTTGTTTATTTATTTTACCCAGTTTGGAAGACTACTTGACTCATTCAAATAAATTAGTAATTACAAACTTTCCTCTTTGTCTTCTGTTAAGAAAACAGTTTATTTTTTAAAACAAGTCAAAACATTACTTAATCAAACATCAAGAAGACAATGTCTACGTTATATTCCTTTTATTCATCTCTCCTGTTTCCCTCTTACTCTCCCTTCCATTTTGCAGATTAACACAGAGGAAAAACAATGATTCGTGTGAAGAAAAGTTTCTTTAAGTCTGTGGTTCTGTAATGCTACCAAGCTCCGCCTCCTGTCCAGGCACCGAAGCCAGCCATCCTGCACCTCCAGAGCCTGGAGAAGCATCCTGGCTGTACAGCAAGCCTGGAACGGCAAAGCAGAGCATGCAACTGCTTCTCTCCAGGATGGAGGTAATGGCAAACTCCTCTAGCTTTCTACATTCTGTGATGGCCCACGGGATACGTGGAGAAATCGCTCTGGTTTCAACTGTTACCCATGTGCCAACAACTGCATTTCTGATCTAAAACATGGCAACACTGGCATCCCTTTCTGCTTCCATTCCTGCATAGCAAGCCTTCATGCTCAGCCTTTGAGCCATGGCCTGGGGGTACCCTCATAACTTCCATGCCTCAGTTCCCTCATCTGTAACAAGAGTCCAGGGGCAGTGCCCATGCGCATTCTGTAAGACAGTGATGGAGTTGGCTGTGTAAGTGGCCCCCAGGGAGCACTGGGAACCCGATAGGGATGACTGCCACCCTGTACTGTGCACTCATGCCCTTACCCTCTGCCAGGGATTACCCTACTACCTCTGCTGATGATAGAACACACATATGACATCTAACTCCGAGTCATTTTTTCTGGCTCCAGGCCCTTGAAGCTCGCCTAATGCGTTCATTCCACAGCCTGATGGATTTCCAAACCCAGCGCCGCCCTTTCTTATCACACTCTCCCAGGCCTCCATGCTGCTTCCGATGTCCAGCAGCCCAGCGTGGCTCCAACACTAACACCGGTTAAGGTTTGGACTTCAAAAGCTCTCTTTTTACAACCTGACCCGAGGAAACTGGCTGGAGTGCGTGTGGCTTGGCTGCTGTCTGCTGGATAACCTTCCCAATCTTCTGACACCCCAGAAGACTGGAGACTGTACAAACCCTCGCACGACTCTCCTCCCAGTCTGTTCTGTAATAATTCCGGGGCCGAAGCCATGTCTCTTGCCCTGAATCACAGGATATCAGTCACAGAGCCAGGAGCCCGAGCCAGCTTTCAGCTTTCCCATGGCTCTGTTCTACCCACTCAACTATAAAGCCAAGGAGGAAAAAAAAAAAAAAAAAGACTCAGACATTTCATCAACCTGTCTCTTGTGTCAAATTGCGTTATTCTCAAATTGTGTAAGACTTATGTAAACACTATCGCTTCACACTCGGGGTTCCATAAGTACATTGGCTGTGTGTTTCTCACTCTGCAGGCTTCCTCTGGATGGGCGTGTAAAAATTGCCAAGATTCCAGACTTAAGAAAACACTTACAGGGCAGCCGTCCAGTGGCATTAGAGTCAGCTTGTGCCCAGAGGCACAGAGCAGATCGTAGCAGGACCTGCTGGGTGACGCTCATTACCCAGCCCTGGCAGCCCCGAAGCCGCGCTCACCTCTGTGTTCATTCGATGAGTGACTTTTGAGGTGCGGGTTTGTGCTTCCTAGAGGCATATTTCCTCTTTCTGTCTCTCTTTTTCTCCGCCTCACTGTCCCTCACTCTTCACCGTAGCCACTCTTTCTCCTTCACTATGCCCTCCCTCCGACTCCTTCCTTTCTGTTAACCAACTCTACTGTAAACTGGTGGGTTTGCTCGAAATTATGTCTAAGAAACAACATTCCCATTTACAACTTCCGGCAAACACCCAGATCTCCTAATATGAAGGAGTCTCCCGATAACTGATGGGTGTCTATGTATTGGATTTCATATTATTGTAAAACGGGATTTTCTCTGACTAACATTAGTTACTAGATAGGATTCATCAAATTAGCTTTCATTGTAATAAAATGAAAGCATGAAGTTGATTATTAACTTATTCAAGGTAGGGTCACGCAGGCATATTGGTATACTTTAATAGGCTGTAGCATAAAGATGATGATGCCAAATACCAAACCAGGAGCAGCTTCAAAATACTGCAGCAAATTTTATAATTTATATACGCCATGCTGATTAAGTCGCTATTTTAAGCAAAAAAACTACCCAGCTTCCTTCTTCTTCTCTATTCGATCTAGCTAATCTACAGTTGCCATCTTAATCTTCCACAAGCGTCCCTTCACATTCTCTGGGTTAGGATAATTAAGAGCACGAGTTCTTGGTGACCTCCAGTCTAGGTTTCTGGGATCAGCCCTCAGATGGAAGGCCAAGGTGGGGCATGGTAATTTCTAGAGCCTGATATTTTTGGTTTGATGTCGATGACCTTTCTTTGGGTGCTGTGGCCTTCACCCGCTGTTCCAAGTGAGCCTCTCTGAGTCCCCCTTCCCCAAAACCTACCCTGAATGTGAAAGGCTTTTATTGATTCTCCTAGTGAGGTCTCATCTGTATTGAGATGGTGTCTGTGGGTGAAACTGTATGTACCTTTCTCCGAGTGTGGGGCATCCTGCAGGACCTCAAGATTTCTGCCATCCCATGGTTTTGGTCTGCCATTAATTTGCCTGTTTTATACACTACCTTATGTTATTAGTTAATTATTCATAAATGTGAGCAACTAAGTATTTTTAAATCTTCATCTAGGCTTATAGACACAAATCAAATTAGCTGTTATACAATTTTATTTTGGATGTTGTTTTTGATAACCCTAAGAGCGATCATTCAAGTAATCAGAGACAGTTCTGTTCATCCTTTGGAGAGAATCAAATTGCCCATGCCGTGGATGAGTCCATAGAATTCTCTCCTGGGTACTGAGAAAAGATCTTTTACTAAGGCATCCAGAGGAATGAACAGTTTTCCATGCCACAGTGCCTGCTCTGTGTAACTCAATTAATTCCATGAGCCATACACAAGTCTATTACATTCTGATAGGCTGCTTACTTCAGCTGCCTGGCTCAGTTTGCTATGCATCTGTAAGTCCAGAGGTGGATTTACCACCAAAGCCCATCATGTTCATCTATACCTGGGCTAGTTAGTAGCCCCAATGCCAAGTTTCTCTGGTTATTTCTTTTCATAAGTCTTATAAAAGTAACTTTTTTAACCTTTTCCTTAAAAGAGGCTAAGAAGTTGTATCCATACCCAATCCTGTGTGACTTGGATCCAGCCCTAGACATGGTCCATGTTTATCCACGTGAAACAGGTTAGGCAGCCAGGTCAGGGAAATGACAAACTCGGAAATGAATGAACACCCTTCCTCAGGTCATTGCTTTTCTTTAATCTGCAAATGTAACTCTAGAACTATTTAATCAAATGAAGATACATGCTTTGCAATCAGAAAACTTGGAAGCCATCTTACTCATTTCTGAAAATGAACAACAGTAGTTTGTATTCCCATTGATTTTATGCGATTTGTACTATAAATAACATTACTTGAAACTAGGCCATTACAATCACAGTAGCAGTTACATTTGTAAATCAATGTAGATTTGTGATTGTTTGAGACAAAGGTCTTCCATTTATTGGGAGAGCCATAGTAAAACTCTGAGGATGATCTATAAGAAACATCATTAAAGAGGGACTCAGAAAATGAAAAGGCTCATATTTTTATGGTCAGATTGAGGAGCTGCAAAGCCTGAGCCAACCCACAGGGTACCGATTGCTTGCTTAAGAAAAACACAGCAGGAAATGCAGCGATAACACACTGTCTAACTCTTTGCTGCCCTGGAAGACACAGGGATAAGACTTAGAAAGGAGACTGCAGTTGGCTCAGTGGGTAAAGTCCTATAGCCTGAGTTCTAGACTTGGCTTCTGATGTGTGCGTGCACATACACAATACATAGATAAAACGTAATTTAAGTTTTTGAAAAGAAAGAAAGACCTGAAAGACAAAGCTGCCCCTTCAGAGTTTCTAGTCAAAGAATGTGATTTACGGGTACTGGAGTATGTCTGGTGTTTAAACAAATTTGTTTTAAAAACAAAAAGTAGTGTTTTCTTTCAAAGCAGTTCCTTGAGAGCCATTTGTCATCATGGTGAGCTTCTGGTACTTGACCAACTCTTTCAGAAACTTGCTGTAAAACACATGGCCATTAAACTCTTACAATGTCACAATAGAGAATTCTTATTAGGATTCATTCTTAATGCAAAATTTGCTTAAATTACTATATTCATTGAGCGAGATTGCCAAACTCCACTTCATAAACAAAGTCATTTTCATAAGCAGAAAATCATAATTTAAATTTCTCTTTGCCTTCATCAGATGGGTTTTTGCTTCCCATGTGTAAGATCTTAATTGTTTTCCTTCAAGCAGCAATTTCCATGAACAAAGATGTTCATTTTTAGCCCTCATTCCTTAGGGGGGAAAAATGATGAAAATAAAGTGAAATTTACATTATTTGGTACATTAAAAATTAGGCACACAATTTTTAAAGCCAAGAAGCACAAGCTGTTAAAACTAGGCTTCAGGAAGAGTATTTAGTAAAGCCATTACAGCTGAAGTTAAATATTTAAATTAAATAATGGCTGTGCGCTCAGCCCGTGAAGCAGAGACACCATTCCATAAATGCTAGTTGAATGAGTGACAAATGGATATACAAACCAAGGATAAAATAAGAACATCTTAGAATGTTGATTATATTACCATGATTAAAAAGGCATCCGTTAATAATTGGAAGACAGTCATTCACTACTATACATTTAAGCAGAATTTTTAGGTATATACAACTTCTAGAAAAGAAGTCTATTATAACCCTATATATGTATGATCGGTACAGTGTCTAGAGACAGACATTAAGAATACAGTCTGCGGTCCTGGGGATACTGATGGGTGCCAAGTCCTGCATTCAGTCACTGCCACCACAAACATCAGCCAATAAATAAAAAATTGAAACCTGAAAATCAAAATCCCAAATCCCAGTCGGTGGTTATCCTTTGTGAAGAGATTCTAAGTGATTTTTATTTTTTTCTTATTATTAGAAATTTATGGAATTATTTTATAACTAAAATATTTAAAATTTTATCTTCAGAGCTTGGGAGATGTTAGAGAGCTTTGTTGTTGAAGAGCCTGTCACACAAGCACTGGGGAGTGAGTCTGGATCCCCAGAAAGACATGATGACAGGCATCCCTAACCCTAGTATTGCAGGCAGGAGACAGGCAGATTCACAGAGTTCGCTGGCCAGCCATTCTAGCTAATCAGTGAGCTATGTGTTCAGTGACATACCCTGTCTCAAAAACTAATGTGATGAATGAATGCAAAAGACACCTAATGTCAAGCTCTGGCCCCTCTAAACACACTCTCACATACTTGTGCCTATCTACATACTCACAGCACGCTCACCCAGAAACACAAATATACACCACACACACACACACACACACATTTTTTTTTTGAGATAGATTCTCACAATGTAACTTTGTCTGGCCTGGAACTTGCTATGTAAACTAAACTGGCTTCAAACTCATAGAAATCCACCTGCCTTTGCTTTCTGAGTGCTGGGATTAAAGGCACCAGTCATTCTGCCTAGGTCATATGTACAAAATTTTTGAAAAGCTGCCTTCAATCAAAGACTCTTTAATTGTAAGATTCGTTTTCTGCCAGGCGATGGTGGCGCATGCCTTTAATCCCAGCACTCGGGAAGCAGAAGCAGGCAGATCTCTGTGAGTTCGAGGCTGGGCTGGACCGATAGCCTCCAAAACAATACAGAGAAACCCTGTCTCGTAAAAACCAAAAAAAAAAAAAAAAAAAGATTTGTTTTCTATTAGAAATCTGGTGTCGAAGTTGATTGACTACTGTTTGCATTCTCTCCCCAATTTAGTAAACTTTTACTGGAATGCACATAAGCACTTATTAGAATTACTAATCCAGCTGGGTGGTGATGGTAGTACATGTCTTTACTCACAATACTCGGGAGGCAGAGGCAGGTGGGTCTCTGTGAATTGCAGGACAGTTAGGGCTACAAAATGAGATAGAGAGAGAGAATCATTAATCCTCCCAAGAAAACATTTATTAGAGAGAATTAGAAGGAGGGAGAAAAGGAGATCAAAGATAAGTGGGCTGTCCCCCTTCTGCAGAGAATCAGATTACATTCATGTGGGCATGAGCCTTGTCACCAATTTAAAAGCAATAGCAACACCAACACCCTCTGCCCAGGATGCAAATGTTCAACTAAGAAACTAGTGACAGCAGCAGACGAAATAGAAGCACCATTTTGACTCTGCTTGGTAGTTTCCCAAATTACATTCAATATTTCCGAGACAAAGTTCAGTTTTGGAGAATAGACAAGGATTCCAGGAATAGATGAGGTGTCTAAATACCTAAAAAAGCTGGACAAATGACCAAATAGGTCTTTTCTCAAAAATAATTGTGGAGGCTGGGGATGCAACTCAAATCATAGAGTGCTGTCTAGCTTTAAAAAAACTCAGGGTTCCATCTTCAGCACTATGTAAACCCATGTGTGTAGCAAGCTTGAGGCTAGTCTAGAACACATGTGACCCTGTAAAGATAAGTAAACAGATAAATAAATAGTAAATTGAGATACCCTGTGGCTATTGTAGATGATTCCACTGAATCATACACAAGATATCAGGTATGTTAAACTTGAGGAAAGTTTAGAAATTATCTTGAATGTCATCTGTATGTCTGGTAGAGTAGAAATTTCAAAAGATGAAGTTTGGGTGTGTAACTAAGCACCCTGACCAAACCTGGTGGTGGGCCAAGGGGGCTGGCCACAAGCCGGAGCAGGTAACCGTTGGGTTAGCCCCACGTTGGGTGCCAGTTAAAATCACAATCCATGGATGTCGTGGATCAGGACTATTTGATTAAGGGATGAAATGGAAATGGCACACTGAGGAATACACAATGAAGCAGCCAACTGCCTCTTGGTCCGCCAGGCAAGGATGGGGAAAATTCCAGATCAGTTCATAGAGCCTTGGTGTAAGGAAAGTTCCAAGTCCCAGAGAAAGCACAACTCTCTTCCCTCCCTTTTTAAGGCATCACATATCCTCAGAGAAAACCATGCCCAGTGGCCGACCCACTCTATTCCATTGGTCATTAGACTGAAAGGCCAAATTCCCACAACATGGTTCTCTTCAAATTGTTGATTACATGCTGCAAGGCCAGAAATACTAACCTAGAACGTGCTAGGATGGGGCCTTTCTGAAGTGACTGGGACATGCTGCAAAGAATCAGGGTCCAAATGAAATCAGAATAACTGAAGGCAGTTCCTGCAAAGATAGAGCTTGAGGAAACAAAACCACCTGGTGGTCTGGTGTGTACTCTGAAGTGGGACAAAAACCTGCCAAAGGTGAGGTGATAAGGGTGTGTCCCCCACCCCCAAATGCTACTCCAGTCAGGTTATTTTTAGCTGGCAGCATTTAAGAAGCTGCCGGAACACCTTTTTTTTTAAGCTAGGGAATAAATTTCCCCTTGTAAAGACAACCTGTCTCCTAACCAAGATGGGACCACTCTTTGGACCAGAAGCAACTTTGAGTCAAAAACGTGACTGAGCAGCTCTTTCTAGCATATATTTCCTAGTCACCAACTCACCGCCTTCAAGAGCTCCAAACGGCATCTTTCATCCTTCACAATTCTTTAGCCTTTGGGGAGTTAACATGTAAGCCCTTGTCGTCCATCTTTTGGTGTTAACAGCTGTTCTGTAATGACATCGTTCATGGAAACATGCTAATGCAGTGTGTCTCCTTTTCCTTTTGACCTTTGTCAGTTAATTTCCAGATAACTTGAAAGAGCAGAGTTTTAACTGATTGTGGCAGCACATGCTTTCAGTCCCAGCACTCCGGAGGCAGAGGCAGGTGGATCTCTGAGTTTGAGGCCAACCTGGTCTACAAAATGAGTTCCAGGACAACCAGGGCTGTTACACAGAAAAACTGTCTTGAAAAATTAGAGAGAGAGCGAGAGAGTTAGTTTTTTGCCTCTCTAGCACTACTGTAGGATGAGTTTGTCATTTACAAAAGAGTTGAAGGACAGAAAACAACTATAAGGTGCTCTTCATTTAACACAAGCCTGTGACAACAAAGAGAAACAAAAATGTTTGTTCTTGACCTGTAAAGGATTATTTACATTAAATCTACCTCCCAAGCCCGAGTAAGTGAGACGTCTAGCTGAATGTCAGTATTTCATTCTAACTGAATTCTTAGCATTTTATGAGGGTTTCCACCGTGGGTCCAGGAGCTGCAAAACTGGCCTTGTGTTCAGTTCTGCATAGCCATGGTTTGCCATGCATCAAGCCAACACTGATGGAAAACAGTCAGAAAAAGTTCAATCTTCATTGAACATGCCCACGCTCTTTATGTTAAAAACAAAATACAAAAACAAAACAAAACAATAGAGTGTGTTAACTGTTTATATCACATTTCCATTGCGTGATGTATTCTAAGTAACCTAGAAATGATTTAAAGCATTGAGGAGGATGTGCAGACATTCTATACAAACACTGCTGTTTTACAGAAGGAACTACCAGCAGACATGGGCACAAGAGAAACAGGGGAGGTTCCCGGAAGTGGTCCTCTCCCACTCCCCACCTGCCGGGATACTGGAGCATGTCTGCAGTTGAAGAGAGATTGCTTCTGAATTTAGAACAGAAGCTCTGTCTTTCTACTCTTCTAGACTTCCTGCTGGCTAAGAGCAGCCCCTTGCCTCGAGGTATTGATTATAGCCAGAAATAAATCAGAAACTTCTGTGCCTGCTTGAGTTAAGAGAAATCAGACATCCCACTCCTGACAGCTCTGCCTGGGCTGAGAGCTGCACCCAGCCAACACCAATCATTTATAAACAGAAATGAGAAAGCAGTCTCCCAGCAAGGCCTCAACCATTGAGAGCATTAATGAAGGCAGGGCTCTGTCCCAGAATTAGCAGCAGCAGCAGCAGCAGCAGCCCTTGGCCACATCCAGACTAATTTAATCAGAAACTTAGGGGCCGATGGGGCCCGGTAATCAGAGTGTTAGCCATGCCTCCAGCTGATTCTCATG